CTACATGAAAAACACAATAACATCAATAAATCATGAATTACTAAACGGGGCATTTCCAACCGAAGTGTCAGCCTATAGACCATATGAAAAAGGGCGTGGAGCTATTGTAACTCACTTGTTTATAAGATGTCTAAAATCTCATTACCGGCTTCTGAAAGAACATATTACAATGAAAAAGATTTGAAAGTGGTGAAAACATGGACCGTTTAAGGTGCTGATTCCCAGTTTTCTGCTCGTTTTTCATATGACAACAACAGAAAACTTTGATGCACAGTAGTAGGAATATATGTAATTACTTGTGCCCTTGCCCTAGGCCGGTTCATGAGGTGTAAAATGCAACGCGTATATTTTTTTTTTCAATGTCAGAAGTTTGGCTTCGGGATCTCCCGATTGCCCTCCGATCTCTAAACGAAACATCACATTACGAACTGATGTCAACAATCTTATGCAATCCTACAGCTCCAGTGAGAAAGAAAATTGAGTCCATTGCGAAGCAAAATCATCCAATATGGCGGCTTTCTTGTTAATGGCGATTGATTCGTCCTCTTGATAAGGTTTTTTGCTTTTCGAGATTTTGACTATTTGGATGCATGCTATTAAAAAAACTCGTCGGTCGGCCCGTTACGTTGACCATATCTTACTGAGGCCCTGTTTACATGAGATAGGGTGTCCCTAGGTGTAGAGCCAAACTCTTTTGTTTTCAATCCTCCAGGGAAAAGTAAACAAAGGAGTTAGCCCTACCGCATAGGGCCACCCTATCTCATGTAAACAGGGCCTTAGTGTGGATTTGTGTGCGAAATCATCTTTGTTCTCGACAGTTCGATGCCGTCGAATAGCACTAAGTGACAATGATGACAACAAAACAATAGATGTCAAAAACAGCAAAACGAAAGGCCTTCCACAGGAAGCCCATGTAATAATTAGAATTTACGTAATTACGGTTTGTGACATTAGTTTTTCATTTTAAAAGTTACATCCGTGGAAAATATCACTAAGTCTAGAGACTTGCCTGTGCTGTAATACTTTAACGAAAATCCTTTATAAGTGTTGGACCTATCAGAACTAAACGTAATGTACATCTGATCGGACGAGCTGTCCAAGTAGTTTGGAAGAGAGGAGCCACTAAACGAACCAATTTGGTTTGATGACGTTGAACTGCCGTCATACACCCTTACATGGTCATATCCAGACTCAGTA